TGCGGGATTGCCCATGCCACAAGGATCTCAGCTCACGTCGCAACCAGAGCATGAAACTTTCTTGAGCACTCACCACGGAGCTGGGGACAACCACCTCATGAGTTACCACTTCTGTAGTACCTCCCTCAAAGACAAAGAGATTGATTGCTGCCTGATCAGCGATGAGCGCTACCAGCCATTGTCTCAATTCTTCAATCTGATGCACCTGGTTTTGGAAATGAGGTGCATGCTCTATCGGTCCTGAGGGGGTATAACCGTTACAGAGGCTCTCTGAATCAGCACGTTGGGTGGACAACGTAGTCGGCAGATCAGAGGACCCAGTGCCTTCATGCAGTGACCATTGCATAAAACTAAGCACGTCGTCATAAAATGTTTCCTCCGACAGAAAATTTCCACTTGTAGAGCTAGATGGTGTCAACACCTCTTCCAGATTCCCAATCGTCTCATCATATCCCTCAGAGTCGAGTCGACTGCTCAAGCTATCAAGGCTGGACTGGCGGACCTCATCGTCTCCAGTAACCAGACTACAAGTCCCGTCAGTCTCGTCTCGTTCTTCTTCAAAAATTTGGACATAGGCCCCCCCTATGAAGATGGAGCACGTGTCCAAAACCATATCTAACCTCTTCATGCAGAGCATAGCAAAAATTTCGATGCACACAGTCATGTTGAGGTATTGCCATTTGAAAAAGAGTTTCAACCCTCACAGCTTGTTCTTGGCATGGGACAATCAAGGACATAAGATTGTGTCTACCTCGTTCTCTGGCACGACACAAAACTGGCAGAGTTGCATCGCGTGTCATACGCAGAACCAATACATGGGGCCGAGGCAGAGAGATGAAAACAGGTGCCGGCTCCACAGGAACCAGCTGAAAACCTGCATCAGTATCTCCATGATCCCAAAGCTCTGAACATTGGCTATAGGCCGTATTAGGGTTGTCAAACTCACAAATCACAGAATGTATCTGCACAATGTGGTCATCAACAGGATGTATCCAGAAAGTCATCATACCTGTTGTACGAAACCACTGCGCAGCATATCGGGCCAATAAACGTGCCGGGGCATCTGATATCTGCATCAGTGTCACACCATCAGTGTCAACATTGGCTTCATTGTCACCTTGAGCACATCTCAGCACAGGCTCACGAAAGACCAATTTGAAGCTCGCACCGTGTGGTTCCTCGATCACATCATAGAGATGCCATTCTCTGTCACCCTCATACTGTGTCAGAACACATCGGTACTTCCCAGGTCCACAAAGATGCTGCAAACCCAACCTCTGGACAAGGGAGCTCAAAGTATCACCAGTTAGACACTGTACAGCCATGCGTCGTGGTAGTCCCCTGAAGAGAATGTCTAGCAAGAAAATTCTTGCCTGCATTCCATACTGGGTTCTTGTCAGCCCCACCAGATTGAGTGAAGAGACCTTGAGGCTCAGTGGCGGGACTTCTGGATGTACAAGAGCAACATAGTAGGGCCCATCTTCAATGAAGTCGGACCATTCATGTAGAAAGGCTTTCGTAAAATGTGCCTTTCCCACATAGGCACAGACCCTTGGGTGAAGCATCACCGTCTCTCGGCCCATCCATGTCGTCACAGAGTGGACCGGATACTGGTGTAGTGGTCGGAGCGCATCCACATATGTCTTCAATGGATCTTCAGTCATGCTGCTTGCTGGGTCCACACATATTTGACCATTCATTGGCCAAAGAACATGACTGGCCAGATCATGAGGTCGAAGTCCAAGCTGTCGTCGCAGCTCAGCCTCCTCTCCAGCCATTTCAATCTCCCAGCCCAACTGCATACCTGAGAAGACGTCACTTGTCTCGTGTGAGAACTCAGATAGATGCTCATGTCGGACATGTCCCTCTTCATCTTCACACCTAAGCCAGTCATCAGCCAGCAGGGCAAAATGAGAGCCATGGGTCTCCGACACAATATCATGTAGCTCCCAGATGGGATTGAGCCCGCCTCTATCTTGGAAGAGGAAGCAATGTCGAATTCGGCAGCGCTCACTGAATCCAATCTTTTGGATAATGTCATAGACCGTCTCATGCCCATTGCAAAGAACCGCAATAGTGCTTGGGATGGGATCATGAGGACCAGTAATGAGGTAAGCCCGGTATCCCAATCTCAGTTGCGAGAGAGGCGCTCCAACCAGATTGAAAACACCATCATCCCGACGTACCAAGGTCGGGTAGCGCTCAGCCGCAAAGCCAATGTCCTCCTGATCTACTAATTCCATCCATTCGTCGAGAAGGTCTTGGGTCAAGGAAGCACCAGCAGTAAACCGACAGAATTTGGGCACATAGGCAAGCTCGTGCGTATATACCACTACCCAAGATTGAACAGAGCGGAAATCATCCCACGTTCGTCCACTCTGTTGGTATATAAAGTCAGCAACAGAGTCCGCATAATGTAGGAGGAAACGGCTTGCCACCACTCCTTCTTCATAGATCCATTGATCTGGTCTATCGAGAGTTGCAGTGTTTTCTCTCAGGTATAAGACTCCTTGCATCAAATTAATGGCTTCCTCATCATTTGAGCCAGGAACTTCATAATAGTGTCCGTGCTGATAAGAACCATCACTGCCTGACTCGTCCTCATCTCTCTCTTCAGCCGAACTGCAGGTCGATGCACTGCCAGAGTTTTGCCGGTCCTTCTCCGTGAGGAGGATGTAGGCACCTCGATAGAGGGGTACAATTTCTCCCCATTCGTAGGTTCGCATCCCAGCAAGCGAGTTCAACTGAACCATACAGTCAGTCTGCCAGACACACATGTTCGCCATGATTGCCTGCGTGAAAATACCATTGACATCAGGATATCCCAGAAAATAGAACAGGAAAGTGGCTCGAAACTGTTCTTGGTCAGAGATATAGTCAAGGAGAACAGGGTAGATAGTGCTTGTCTGGAAAGTCGTGAGAACGAAGTGTGGGACACTGTTCGGCAGACTGGGAGGCACAGGCTGGACAGGATAAACAAAGCATTGTCTACGTCCTACAGTACTAGCCCAGAAACTACGTACCTGCGGTCCAGCTGGTAGTTCATGGTTGTATTCTTCGAACTTGAAAAGTCTGCTGAGCCGACCTCTCGCATCCACCGGATGGAACCACACCATGATTCTTGTTGCTCGATGGTTAGGCACTGTCAATCGAATGTGCCGGCCAATCGCATCTTCAACCGGTGGTCCTACCTGCATCAGCGAAACCCATTCAGTTGCATGACTCTGAGCTTCCTCCTCTGCATGTTTCACCAGGCAACTCTTCCGAGCGCCCCGGTAGAATTGTCCATGCTTCAACAGGCAATCTGCAACCGAAGGGTGAATTTGCACTGAGTTCTGAGAGCCCAGCAACCTATCAAATGACTTGCAAAACCGTTCTCTATTGGCAGGCGAGACCCCACACGCATCATATGCAATTGACGGAAGACTAAACTGTTCGTCTCCGCATTCAGATCTGATCAGAACTGCTCGAAGGGAAAACAGCTGTCTGCGCCAGATCAAAAAAATGCTGCACTCTCTGTTGGAGTAGGAAATCAGAGCTTGGGGGCTGGGGTTGGACCAATCTGAAGTCACAATCATTCGCACAGCGATCACCCCAAAGCAAATTGAAATCTTCTTGGAACAATTGGAAGTCTCGCACAGGGTACTGCTTTTGTCTGGCTTCACTTTGGCAGACAGGATAACCAGCAAACCAAACAATCGCAGTCCATCTGTCGTCTTTGGTGTGGAGGAGCGACTGCTTCGACTCAATAGCTCTATCACACCTGTGAGGATTATCAGCATTCGGGGTTACATCTCCACTCAATTGACAGGGCTCAAGGTTGTCATGGCCTATCACAAAATGTGGGCAAAATTCTTGCACAGCACTCGAAAAGGTATGGTATCCAATCGGTGCACAGGAACTGGCAGGAGTATCACAAAGCGGCACTTGTGGCAAAGGGGCCCTTTCAAATTTGGGGTCATCCTGGAACAAAATCGGATCAAACTTACCAGCATCCTGGAGGCCTGAATCAACAGAACTCAAACTGCAGTACGAATTGTCATCAACCTCAGGCTTGGGTTGTGACACATCTGAGGCAGCACCGGACTCGTCGTCAGCCAAACTGGAAAAGTTTGCCCTTCGTGCTTTCGAAGAGATCCCTACTGCTTCTGCTGACGAGAGATTGATTAGCAAGAAAAATGCAACAATCTTTCTCGCAGTCCATGTTTTATTGCGTTTAGTCCCAGACCTACTGCCAACACGAAATCGGCATCTAGGCGGAAACTTAGGATGGCATTCCTCACGGAAACGCATAAACCGGCATGCTTCCATGAAGATATACATTGAAGTCACGCAGTAGAAATAGCCTTGGAGGATATGCACACCTCCAACAGCATAGTCATAGGCCGGATCATCTTCTGCAAGCTCCAGTAGAAACAGTGTCCCAAGGCAGCAAATCCTTAAGAAAGCCCTGCCAAGTTTCCCTGTATCAGGATGCGGCCAGACATATAAGCTATGAATTCGGCTCTTCCTACGGAAAGAAGCCTGGAGAGCCATCGTCAACTCATCAGCACAGGCAGCACTAGAAATCGCAATGGCCAATATAGCTCCGAGTATCAAGCATTGCAGAACAATTGGGAAAAGGCAACTGGTCCTGACAAAAGACCAGTTATTTGCCCTGCTGAAGCACGCACTGAAAACTCGGCATATCAAAGCAAAATCAACAAAACTGGGGCTACTGTGATTCTCCCCAAAAGGAATCACCTCATCTTCCCCAAAAAGCATTCCCTCACCGGACCTGCAAGTGGTCTTGGCATCAAAAAGTCCAATCCCTCGATCAGGTTCATAGTTCTGGGACGAGAAATTCTTCCCAAAAAGTGTCTCGTCCAGCAAAAGAGGCACATCTTTACTGACTCCATCCAAGACACCGCTCAGACATTCAGCGTTCAGATGCTGCATACCTACAGGGAAAGATCTGCTGCCTTGAAAAATGGCGCACCCTCTGTCCTGCAGTTGGGAACTCATGACATTCTCTCCATAGTCGACATTTTTCCACCATCTGGGGTGGCCACTATCGACTGGTGGCGCAATCCTGGTGGGGTATAAGGTCCATCGCCCACCTTCTTGGTCTTCATCTGGGACTTGCCAAATGGTCGAAGCACTGGATGCGCTTGAATCGGCAAGTGCTCTGTCAGTCGCTGCTGCCCCTCCATGTCTACCATGTCCTTGTTCAATTCCGCTTCTACACAAGCATTGAGCATCTGAGTATGGGTGGCAACGATCAAATTTGATACCGCCTCCCATGTCACATAAGCTTCTGGATCTTGGTGAATAGTCTGAAGGACAGCCATCTGACATTCTTCCGGATATCGAGCCAGCTCGGTCTTGAGCTGTTGTGACTCGAACTCTTGTGCAATCTTTGGTTGCTTGGCCGCTCTGCGGTCTATATCTGGTGTTCGCGATCGCTCGCGGCTTTCCTCTTGCTTGACCTTGGTCAAAGCTCTCCCTTCGGCCTGCTCTTCCTGGAGTATCGTCCCCAGGGTCTTCTTTCGGCCTTTCACTTCTTGGTTTGGCGAATTGGCCGGAGGAGGCGTTGTCAAAACCGAGCCTTGTACCACACTTACCAAGCTCATCAGCTGCGACTGTAGCTGTTCCATCATCTGGGCATTCTTCTGGTCTTGCTGCATGGTGTAAGCCATAACATTTTGCATATCTGACCTCAACTCGGCCAGTTCTTTCTGCAACCGTTGATTCTTCACCTGCAGTTGCGATTCGTCGCCCTCTTCTTCGCCCTCTGAATCGACTTGAATGGGATCTACCCCATCTCTCTGTCTTTCCAGAGACTTGATCTCTGCACTGATCTCGGCCAGCTCGCTTGAGTGTCGTTTCTCCTCCTTGCGAATGCCTGACTCGACGGTTTCTTTCCAAGATTGAAAATTCTTGGACTTTTTGTCCATCGTGTCCTTGGCTTTGTCGAGCTTGTTTATCTTCTTGCGTTCCTCGTTCAACTCCTTCTGTCGGAGTCGGATGCTCTCTCTTGGGTCGATCTTCACAAGCTCTTTGACCTCCTCTGGAATCTCGGCTTTCTCTGCATCCGTAGGGGCCACTTTGTCCAGCATGAATCGCATAGCCTCTTTCAGCCTTCGATTCTCTGTCTGCATTTGTGCCTCTTGCGAGGTAGATTGCGAGGATTGCCAGGAAGATCCAGGCTGGTCGTCGACCTCCACCATCTTTCCGTCGTAGCCGACCAGGAAGACATTCTTCCCTTTGGCCTTGCCATCTCTGGCGTCTTCTTTCTTCCGATTGCCCTTCTTCTGTTGCTTCCCCCCAGTCGTACCAGTATACTTCGTTCTTCCATGACATCTGCCTGGCAATCGAAGGTACCGAGTAGACAGGTCGCGTATGGTGTTGCTGAAGGCACAGTAAAGCACGTAAAGTCCGTGCCCGGAGTGCAGTAGAGATCCTAGGCTTGGCTTTCACCTTCCAGATCAAGGCACGTAGCTTTGCCCTCTTCGCTCTAGCACGTCTGTGCCAGGGAGGGCTGCCAAAAGCTATGGCGGCAGTAAACGAATCGACCCTTATTCAGGGTCTGGGGCCGCGATCCCTTCCGACCTAACGTCGGCAATCTCGAGCCCTGGGTAACATATTCAAGAAATCAAAGCTGACAAAACACGCAGTCAGACTTTGAACAATGTTCTAGGATGTTTTTACCGATGCTCCTGGAGCTGAAAAACACCTTTCGACTGCTGGTAGGGCCGCAGGAAGTCGGTATAGGAATCCATCGTTGCGAAGCTTTGTCCGGCGCCTAACTTAAGGAGTGGTCACCTGAGTCTTCGTATAGGAGCATGAAATAGCATGAACATATTTCCCATTGGAACGACAGTTTTGATATGAAACTTTTGGGGTTGGCAGCATTTGTCTTCTCAAGACCGCCGGCTGTCATGGGACGATCATGGAGTGGAACGTCCCGTGCGCACCCGAACTCTTTAACTCCAGGCTTTGTCTCCTCTTTGGTGACCTGAGGTGCTCTCTCCCGCCATGAGCTCACTGGCCCTTCCTCTTGGCTGAGTGAGGCTTGCTTTGTCGCCGGCTCTGTGGCCGAAGCCGAAACCTCTTTTGAGCTTGTGATGTTCGAGTTTGAACCATAGGACTGATTCGTACAAACCTTCCTCGAACATCAACTCACACCAGCTCAGTCGATCATCAGCTCAGTTCTCCTTCGCCTCAGCATGGCTACATTGGCTGCAATTCTTGAGGCTGATGAAGTGGTGAGGATCGGGGCCAGGGAGCCAGGGATCAAGGCCATCCTGACGAACATCCGGGTGATGGAGTTGGTGGCTACATTCTTAAGTCGCTTCCTTCTGTGGATTCAGCTTTGCCAGAAGAATACAGACTTGCTTCGTTGGCTGCTTGGACGACTTGCTATGTCTTTGAGACGGCCATTCTTCGAAGGAATTTCCGTGAATGGCCATTGCTACACCTTTGCCCTTGTTGGCAGCAAAGGCGGCCAAAAGTGGCACATTGCCGCTGCCATGCTTACAAGACACTTTGGCACGAGGCCGCAAACGGTCACTCAAAATGTGCTATGTATATGAATCCGGTGACGACGGCCTGCCATATGAGGACGTGTCCACTGCAAAGTGGCAGGACACGTGTTAATTGGCCCGCGCATGGCTTGACCAACGGACGTTGATGGTTGCTCTTTTATGCTGCTGATGAGTCTGGTCAGTGCCGCGAGCTTTTGCTTGCCATGCAGGAATGCGGCACCCACGGCCTTCAGTTCTACAAGCACCTGCTTGATCATCGGCTGCTTCTCTCTCCCCCGAGCTCTCTTGGCTTACCACAATCTACAGAGCTGTTCCTTTGCGGCTTGGGCTTTGGTGCCGGAGATTCATTCCTCTCGCTGGAGGTATCTGGAGGTCATGTTGCCTGATCTCACAACGGAATACATCATTTCCCCCGCTATGCTTGCCCGGTGAGATTGGAGAAGACCACATATAGGTCGAACTTGCAGGCTTGTAACAACTGTTGACTCAAGGAGTGCAACCTACCGTTTGTTGGAGCTTTACTTGATCAAAGCAAAACTGCGTTGGAGGTGTGTGTGCCCGAAGTTTTGCAGCCGTTCCTCAACCGCTTGATCCAACGCTACACGTCCAGGATTGAAAATAGGCGTGCGCAGTGTGAGCCCGCGCACTCTGAAACGGACGGTTTCAATTGAAACGGGAATATTTCCTGTGAAACGATTGAAAGAACTGCAGGTTGCCGAAAGAGCTGAAATTTGTACCCGCCAGAGGTTTCAGGTATACCCATCTGAAAACCCGAAAGCCACCGGCCTGTAAGAAAAACAATCTTTCAGGGGGGCTTTCTCAGGGTCCATCTTATTCTTGTGCACACTCCCTAAATCTAGTTAGTTTTAGGGATGGTGCAAAAGATGTTTCCTGAATGTCTCAAGTAGGTTTGTCGTGGGTGGAGGGTTCCTCTCCTTCTCAGCTCTTGCTTTAGATCTCACCCTTGACGTGAAATCTCCGCGCAGACCGGGCATTGAATCAAGGAGCTTTGAAACTCAGAGACTCCAGAGCACAGCTATGAAAATGGGTCTGTCGGCGTGGAGAGCATCAAGAGGGCGTGGTGGAGCGCATCGAAAAGGTCGTGCGGACGTGTGTGATGGCGCGCCCAAGTGGTAATTAGCAGTCGCGTTAAAGTTAACTTGCAAATCATGTGAAAGATGATCCACTAATTTCAACTGAGAAGGAGTGTAGCCTTTGCCCAATTGGCCCCTTTAGTTGTTCCCCCCCTACATGTTCCTAGTCACTCTCGAGGTCGACGCCCCGCGATGACGGAAAACACATCAAAAACACATGGGGTGGATGCTGTTGATGCTGTGGTTCTGCCAAATACCATAGTATTGGCACGTTCTGTATTGCCATCGGGGCAAGGCAACACTGTAAATACCAGTTGTGTGTTTGAAGAGCTGAGTGAGCTGTGGGTGTTGAGATGCCGGCAATGGAACGCCAAAACCCAGCTCTCCAAAAAACTAGGGGTGTTCGGCGTTTTGCTACACCAGAAAGGTCATCCTCAGGGAATTTTTGTGGTTTTAGTAAAAAGATGAATCTAGTGGTGAAACTATAACAGCCTGGATGAAAATTGGCCCCGTCAGGAAGAACACATTGTGCATGTTGATATTTGGAGGCCAAGGTTTGCGTGTGCTGCAACCCACTGCCGCATGAGTTGCTTACAAGGTGCGGGTCTAGAGATTGTCGTTTACATCATCCATGCTTCACCCTCACACCTGCACGTGGCATGAAAAATGATCGCCAGCGGGGATTCCGGTGAAGTGGGAGCTCACTGATGGTGCTGTTGAAGGGAAATGTCCAGCCGGAGGGGCCCGCTAGACCAATGGCAGGGTTGGTATGTGACTTTGCGGTTCGGTGCAGGAGCCTGGTGCCGACTTGCTTGGCCCAGAGTATATAGATCAGATGCATGGCATCCAAACAAGATGGAAAATCAATATGTTAAACCTAGCATGATTTCGAGATGTATCCGCCAACGTGCACGCTTGACTCAGCTGCTTCCCTACCGGATCTTACTAACAATCCCTTTTGGCACTCACTTATGCCAGTGTGTATGGTTTGAGTCATTGCATATGTTTGTCCAGCCCACTCTTTCTTACACCAGCAGTGTAGGAAAACACCATGACACATTCGACCCGCATTCCTTGCTGCAACTAATATATAGATGTTTTTTTCCATTCACTTCTTCCGTAACACAACAACACCCAAGGCCACGCCTGCCAAGAGAAAGATCGCAACCATCAGACTGTCAAATCTCCGTTCAAACCCTCAGCCAGCCCCTTCTCCATCTCCCTCCACAGCCCCCAGCTTTATCTCCAGACCCTTGTTCCTCTGCCGCGGTTCGGCCGGCGCGGGGCCCCATGTGCCGTGCTCCACAGCCTCCGCGGACCTGGACAGCAGCGGTGCTCACCGCAGTGTTGATGTCGAAAAGCGGCTGGCTGGCGGCAAGGAAGGTGGCAGAAGGATGGTGGGAAGGATAAGAGGTAACCAACCCTACGGTTCCAAGTACCTTCTAAGGTTTTTTGGGGGGGTGGGTGCCAGGAGGGTCCAAATACCTTCTGATGAGGCACGTGGAGACCTGAGGGAAAGTGAATCAGGCATTTGGAAGATGATCACATATACAATCCAACATTTCATTGTCAAAGGCTCATGGATGTTGAGGCAACAAGACTAGCTCTCTCACGTTCTCCAGTGGTCCAACATCCCTTTAGCTTATCCCACAGACATACTCCAATAAGGATCGCTAGGGTCCGCTGAGGTCTCTTTTGTTGTGCACGTCTTGTCGTGCAAGCCAAGGCATGACCCACAGTGGGTTCCTATGGCGGCAAGCGTTCTCGAGGCGACTGGGAGACCTTGAACTTGAGATCAAACATGACTTTGGGTCCAAACGATTCAAGCGACGATGGACCATGGCAGATGGACCTCCCTGTAAATCCCTTTGTTCCTCTGTTATAGGGTGTTTTGACTCAGACCGGAAGTCTGGTCGACAGGTGGTCAGCTCGGAATCCAGGGTCCTGACCAGTGGGTTTTTGTGTGGGCCGACCTGGATTTGATCCATCGAATGCAGGGGCTGTGGCTTAGCGGGTTGCATTGCTGATGCTTCGCCGGCGCAAAGCCACAAGCTGGATCGGAATGGATGTGGTCGAAGAGTAGTTCGTAGAGTGTATACATGTCGTTCGATAACCTGCCCAACCCCTTCTTGGGAATTCATTGAATTTCACATGGGTTTCAAGACTCAACAGGTGGACCAAGGGTGAACCTTTATGTTCTATAAGGAATCTGAGAGGGTTTAGGGTTACTACGGCCAGTCGACTAGATCGGAGTGCATCGGCAAGCAGTGATCGACTTGATCAAAGGCGTCGCCAAGGGTTACTTCTGGCAGGTCACCAGCCGTTCAGATGAGAGTTAGAGGCGAGCAAGCAGGGGGGCGCAGAGATTGGAGATAGAGAAGACTTCCAATTCTGAACAAAATAATGTGAGACATGTAGATGATGTGGTAACATTGACGAATTGTTGCTGCTTTGTGTTTGGGGGGGGACGGAATAACACATAACTATTGAGTTAGAGTCAATTTTGCATGATTGTTCAATGACCTTCAATCATGTACGGCAATTGTACCATCTGGTGAATATACCACGGATTACCATTGGAATTGGGGAATTCGCTGATCCAGATCTGCAAGCCTCGCTGCTCACCATGACCTCTTCATGCCTCATCAAGTCCCCATACATGTCCAATACACCAAGGTTATTGAAGTCTCAACAGATGTGAAATACATTGAAGCACTCTGTCAATTTGTCTCCCTCCACCCCTGGGCGCCCACCCAGCTGCGGCTCGCCGCGGCGCCAGAACGCGCACGCGTGAACACGGACGTGTCCTTGGAGTCGCCTTTGGACAATGCCTTGAAGAGCCCGTGGTTTCCGCAACGGATCCCCGGCGAGCAGTGCCGCACGGAAGGGTTGCTTGTCCACCCAACCTTGAAAGGCCCTCTCATAGCCCCAGCCTCCAGAGAATTAAGGTAAAAGCAGATCGGAACCACTCCGGTCGTGAAACGTCTGCTCCAACGACCACTCGTCGACCCAAAAACGGCTGGGTCGTTGTGAAACACAAAGAACGGGCAGTGGAAGCAAGGGACCATGGTTGTGAGAATGAACCACCGGGTGATGGTTTCAGATAGTTTTAGATGTGTGTTTTTCTTTTATGCTGTTTAT